AATCCCTTGGAAACTTTACAAACTATTCCTTCCTCGAGCGAAATTTCTCAAAACTATTATTCATGTACATTTCATTATAAAAAATATATATTGACAATTGAAATTAATTTTTGCCAAATTATTTTTTTTTGGGTTCTATTAATAACAATCCTTTGTCCGTTTATGAACTGTTTTTTTAAGTTTCTAATTTACAGACACGAACATTAAATTGAAATGTCCAGGAATTATTCGTGAGTAATGATCCATCGATGTGAATGTATTATGTATTATCCTATTATTAGCGTGTAACGAATCAATTAAAACAAATATTCATCGAAATACAACCCTCTCTTCCCCCCCTCTTTCTCTCTCTTCACCTACTCTCAAATGAAGTGAATTACCGCTTCACTGGCTTAATAAACATCCAATCGTAATTAAATCAAATGCTGAATTAAACTTTATACACAGACAAAATCGAATGTGCATCACGATCTTAAAAATACGTTGATTTTTTTCCCCCTTTTAATCCTTTCATATATTTTTCTCCTAAAATTTCACACAGGAAAAAAAAGATACAGATGCTAACTGATATCAAAATTAGGTAACTACACAGCTAAATTTTTTACTATGACAACGAAGTTTGTTTAATTTTCGAAAAATTTACTGTCACAGCAAACTTTTTTGATTCCCCACAGCAAATTTGTTCGCTATCTCTATATTAGCTAACGTAATTAGATGTGATAGCAAAATAATTCACTGGCACAGCAAATTTTTTCTATATCAACAGAATAAAAAAATTAAACAAATTAATTGAATTTATTTATTTTTTGAAAATTTTTTTTCGACACGAAGTAATGAATCTTAAAATAGAATAATCTCTCCTAAATTTCAATGAAATACACCAAAAAGTGTTAGAGAGGTTCAATTACGTCTTGTAAGTGACCCACATGCAATGTGTCCCAAAGAGGAGAAATAAATTTTCACTGGCATCCCATCCTTGACTCTGACATTCTAACTCATTGCCACTCTCTGCAATCCTCCCTACTATATATATATACTTGCAGATCTCTCGGTATTACACGCCTAAAACCATTCTCAGCATCTCAAAATCCTAGCTCTGTTTGCATTCGCGTTCCAACAATTCCTCATTAATCACGCATTTTTTTTTTCTATTTTCTCATTTTGAAACGCAAAATTCATTATTACAATTTTCACATTTAATTCACAATAAATTCTCAAACAAATTATATATATATTTACCAAAACGCTACACCCGGTCAGGGCCAAATTAGGGCGACAAAAAAATGTTGATTTCCTAATCAGGGCCACATCTGGTGCTGCGTTACATTCCCTATCAGGGCCCTAGTAGGGAATGTAACGTCAAATCTAATCAGGGCCAAATTAGGGCGAAATGTTGATTTCCTAATTAGGGCCACATTAGGCGTAGGTGTTTTTTTTCCTATCAGGGCCCTAGTAGGGAATGTAACGCCAAGTCTAATCAGGGCCAAATTAGGGCGAAATGTTGATTTCCTAATTAGGCCCACATCAGGCGCAGGTGTTTTATTTCCTATCAGGGCACTAGTAGGAAATGTAACGCCAAATCTAATCAGGGCCAAATTAGGGCGACCAGGAAATGTGGATTTTCTAATTAGGGCCACATCAGGCGCGACGTTTCATTCCCTAATAGGGCAGCCTGATCTGGGCCCTGGAAAAATTTCTGCACGGGATATTATTATTAGTATTTTTATTATTATTTTTTTTTATTATTTATATTTTTATTATTATTAATATTATTATTTTTAATAATTTTTTTCTTTTTTATTTTAATATTGTTGTAATCGAGACGATTTAAAGTGACTATATTCAACTCTTATTAACACTCCTTTGATTTCAAGTGAAGCACAAAATCCTAAAGCCCCTCTTACATATTATCAAGAGTTTATATCGCAACCACTATGAATCCCATATATAGCGTTCGTTTACGATGCATCACTATACTATATCTAGGCCCCTCGAAACGCAACCAAGTTACTACGTGACTCGAGTACTTTCCGTGTTCGAAAATACGCCGAGAATGACAATGACGTCATCAGTATTACCGCAGAATATCCGGATAGAATGTGTGTGTATGTGTGTGTGTGTGTGTGAAAGAAATAGATTCACGAAAAATCCTTTTTAAATCCCTTTTCAAAAAATATATTATTATTTCAACATAAAAAAAAATAAAATAAAAATTCCATCTCCAAATAAATTCACTCATCACAGGGAGTAACTATTGTACGAAAAATTACAATTTAAAAAAAAAAAACATTTTATCCCAACTTTTTCTATATATAAATATAATAATTCTATACATATATATTTTACCTAATATTTTTTTATATCACGAAAATTACTTTTCAAAATAAAAAAAATTCATTATTTCGAAAAACAATTTTCAAAAAAAGAAAATTAAAAAAGAACACAAGTTTTTTAGGATAAAAAGAAGCTATGGAATCATAAGAAAAATGAAATTTTCAACTAATATAATTTTTGAAAATTAAATTCCTATTCTAATTAACTATCCAATTTTTATTTGCAATTAGAAGAAGAAAAAAAAACCAAGAAATCGTAATTAAATCAAGGGAAACCCGCTGATGGGTTTGTTATTTAAAACAAATGAAACAATTTAAAGAGAAAACACAATCTCAGAGAGTGACGTAAAGTTCGCAAATCTGAATACATATTAAAAGCAGAGAGAGGAAGCTAATGGCACATTTATCGAACAAAGCATAAAAGGCCAATGCATCTGGCTAATTACACCCAGGAGGAAAAAAACATTAAAAAAAAAAAAAAAGAAAAACCAAATAAACTCAATGTTTCCGTGCCGCGTTCAATCTAATAATAATCTTTCTGGTATTCGTTATCATAAGTCTAATTACCTTAACGATAATAACCCGAACACCTGCCCGTAAATAGTTAAACCATTCTTTCTCTAGTATCTCTTTCTCTCATATATATATATACAGAACACTATATAAAAAAAAATCTGTAAAAGAAGCAGGAGCAAAGCGCCTACATCTAGGGTTTCGTGGCTTTTTAAATTCAAAACAAAATTTATTTTTATATAATAAATAATTTATAATTACATTATTTGTTAATTGCTATTGTTGCCATGGAAACGATTGCTATGGAAATCAATTGTTGCCATAGTAACTTCTGCCATAGTAACTAAATGTTACCATAGTAACGGTTGCCATAGTAACTAACTGTTACCATAGTAACTTCTGCCAAAGTAACTAAATGTTACCATAGTAACGGTTGCCATAGTAACTAACTGTTACCAAAGTAACTTCTGCCATAGTAACTAACTGTTACCAAAGTAACTTATGCCATAGTAACTGTTGCCAAAGTAACTAACTGTTACCATAGTAACTGTTGCCATAGTAACTTCTGCCATAGTAACTAACTGTTACCATACAGTAACAGTTTTCATAGTAACTTCTGCCCTAGTAACTTCTGCCAAAGTAACTAACTGTTACCAAATAAGTAACTTATGCCATAATAACTGTTGCCAAAGTAACTAACTGTTACCAAAGTAACTTATGCCATAGTAACTGTTGCCAAAGTAACTAACTGTTACCATAGTAACTGTTGCCATAGTAACTTCTGCCATAGTAACTAACTGTTACCATACAGTAACAGTTTTCATAGTAACTTCTGCCCTAGTAACTTCTGCCAAAGTAACTAACTGTTACCAAATAAGTAACTTATGCCATAATAACTGTTGCCAAAGTAACTAACTGTTACCAAAGTAACTTATGCCATAGTAACTGTTGCCAAAGTAACTAACTGTTACCATAGTAACTGTTGCCATAGTAACTTCTGCCATAGTAACTAACTGTTACCATACAGTAACAGTTTTCATAGTAACTTCTGCCCTAGTAACTTCTGCCAAAGTAACTAACTGTTACCAAATAAGTAACTTATGCCATAATAACTGTTGCCAAAGTAACTAACTGTTACCAAAGTAACTTATGCCATAGTAACTGTTGCCAAAGTAACTAACTGTTACCATAGTAACTGTTGCCATAGTAACTTCTGCCATAGTAACTAACTGTTACCATACAGTAACAGTTTTCATAGTAACTTCTGCCCTAGTAACTTCTGCCAAAGTAACTAACTGTTACCAAATAAGTAACTTATGCCATAATAACTGTTGCCAAAGTAACTAACTGTTACCAAAGTAACTTATGCCATAGTAACTGTTGCCAAAGTAACTAACTGTTACCATAGTAACTGTTGCCATAGTAACTTCTGCCATAGTAACTAACTGTTACCATACAGTAACAGTTTTCATAGTAACTTCTGCCCTAGTAACTTCTGCCAAAGTAACTAACTGTTACCAAATAAGTAACTTATGCCATAATAACTGTTGCCAAAGTAACTAACTGTTACCAAAGTAACTTATGCCATAGTAACTGTTGCCAAAGTAACTAACTGTTACCATAGTAACTGTTGCCATAGTAACTTCTGCCATAGTAACTAACTGTTACCATACAGTAACAGTTTTCATAGTAACTTCTGCCCTAGTAACTTCTGCCAAAGTAACTAACTGTTACCAAATAAGTAACTTATGCCATAATAACTGTTGCCAAAGTAACTAACTGTTACCAAAGTAACTTATGCCATAGTAACTGTTGCCAAAGTAACTAACTGTTACCATAGTAACTTCTGCCTTAGTAACTAACTGTTACCAAAGTAACTTCTGCCATAGTAACTAACTGGTTCCATAGCAACTGTTGCCATAGTAACTGTTGCCATGGCAACCATACGAGTGTACGACGGACGGACGGACGGACGGACGCCAAAGCGAAACTGTATAAGGCTTTCGGCCCTGAGCCACGAAACCCTAAAAAATAGTATTTTTCTGTTTTAGTAAAAAAATAGAAAAAAAAAAAAAATTAAAAAGGAAAAAAAAAGGTGAGAAAAAATTAGGAAAAGTTTGGTCAAAACTGGGACTGTTCTCTTTTTTTTCACAGGTAATTATTCGCGATTGGCGTGTGAAATTCAGTTTGTACGTTCCATGGGATACTATCTGATCCAGATCTACATTCCCTCTGGACTGATCGTGATCATTTCATGGGTGAGCTTTTGGCTAAACCGAAACGCAACCCCCGCTCGGGTCGCCCTCGGAGTAACCACTGTGCTCACCATGACGACCCTTATGTCCTCGACCAATGCGGCCCTTCCTAAAATCTCCTACGTCAAGTCCATCGACGTCTATTTGGGTACATGTTTCGTCATGGTCTTCGCATCATTACTTGGTAAGTATTTATTATTTCAATTCAATGAAAAACGGTAAATGGCGGCTCTTCAATTAAACCCCCGTTATTAATAATAATCGAGAGCGGACTTTTCTATCACATTATTGCCTTAAAATTATAGTAAATCAATGACGCGTTTATCTTACTTCCAAATAAAAACCTTTACCAAGGACAGATTTCTCATACATCGTTTAATATTTTAATTAAAATTCATTCATGATTTTTAAAAAATTGAAAAACATTTTTTTTTTTTTTTTAAATACAACAAAATTTATTCAAATTATTTGCAAAATTCATTAAATTAGGAAAATTTAACGAATGCATAATTTGAAATTAAGAAGGTATTTATTGTATTTAAAAAAAAAAATTTCTAAAACATTTTTTTAAATTTAAAAAAACGATGGAAAAATATTAATCGGTCCTGTACAGTAAAGTGAAATACCCTTTTTTTAACTAACAGTATTTCTTTCTAAAAGAGAAGACAAAAAAAAATGTAAAACATTCGTTATTGAAATTGTAATTTCAAATTGCAAAAAAAATGTCTATTTTTATAATATAAATAAAATAAAATTGTAAAAAAAAATCGTTACAAATTTAAAAAAGTACGCGATAAATATTAAAAAAACAAAATAAATTTTTTTAAATTCTATATATTTTATTTTTGTAATTACTAAAAAAAAAATATTCTTCTCTTCTAGAAAGAAATAATTGAAATGTATCGATCTATAAAACGGGAAGAAGTTTTTTATGCGTCTCTCACTTACTATAACACTCAATATGTGATAAAAAATTGTCCCTTCTCACAACCCGTGTTTTAAATAAAAACAAAAAAAAATTGAAAGAAGCCTACCGATACAATTGTAGATATTTAATTTTTGAATTTAGATATTTTTTTTATTACTTTTGAGCTGGGTATTTAAAAAACTAAATTTTAAATTTCATTTTCCATCGAATTAAAAAAAATTTTTATTAGTAAAAGGATAAAATCTTACCTTTGGTTTTTTCAACGACGGACGGACGAACTCATCTCAAAAATCTCGTTATGATTTCTGCCCTAGTCCATAAAACTGTAAAAAAAAGAAAATTTTTTTTATTAGAAAAATTTTTTGGAAATTTTTTTGAAAAGAAGACGAAAGTTCAAAATTCTTAGGAAACTTTCATATATATGAATTCTCAGATTATAATCAGCTATATTTAAACACATTTGTGTAACTCTCTAACATTATATTTGCACAAAATTTTCAATTAAACTTTAGAAAGTAATTTAAATGTAAATATGAACAGGAAGAGCTCAAAAACGAATTTTGCAAACTACAAACACAAATTTCTTTTTTTTCCTTCAATGCTAAATATTTTTTTCAAAATGGTAATAAATTTTTTAAATAATCATATAAGGTAAAAATACGTTTGTTTAAATAAATAAAATAATAATAAACAAATTCAAAAAATCATTGCACTGAAAAGCAATTCGACGCCTCCCGTTGATAAGATGCCCGTTCATTTGTCAGAATAATAAAATGCCAACTCGAGCTCAGTTCAATATGAAGCTAGTTCAATTGTCAAAATAATAAAAGGCTATCTCAGTTTCAGAATAATATAATCCTATCTCGCATTAAATTCGAATTCAAGTTTTCGTAAATTAAAAAAAAAGTTTAAGTCGATCAGAATATTAATTCATACTTTTTAATGATTAATTAGTGATTAATAATTATTAATAAAATAAGAAATAGAATAAAAAACAAATAATAAAGTAAATGAAAATAAAAAATATTATTAAAAAAGAAAAAAATTAATTTAGCCTTGAATTATTTATTACTAATATTATTTTTTTTATTATAATTTTTTTATTAATTTTTTTATTTTGTTAATCATTAATTAATCATTACAAAATATTAAATAATATTCCGATCGAGTTAAAAATTTTTTATTTTACGAAAACTTGAATATTTTTAACTCGATCGGAATATTATTTAATAGTTTGTAATGATTAATTAATGATTAACAAAATAAAAAAATTAATAAAAAAATTATAATAAAAAAAATAATATTAGTAATAAATAATTCAAGGCTAAATTAATTTTTTTCTTTTTTAATAATATTTTTTATTTTCATTTATTTTATTATTTGTTTTTTATTCTATTTCTTATTTTATTAATAATTATTAATCACTAATTAATCATTAAAAAGTATGAATTAATATTCTGATCGACTTAAACTTTTTTTTTAATTTACGAAAACTTGAATTCGAATTTAATGCGAGATAGGATTATATTATTCTGAAACTGAGATAGCCTTTTATTATTTTGACAATTGAACTAGCTTCATATTGAACTGAGCTCGAGTTGGCATTTTATTATTCTGACAAATGAACGGGCATCTTATCAACGGGAGGCGTCGAATTTATTTGATTCAAATACTTGACTATTATCAAATAAATATTTACTTGAACCAAATAAATTTTATTTGAATTAAATAAATTTGTATTTGAACCAATAATTTTTGTATTTGAAATAAATACCATTTAAAAATGGTAAAAATATAGTAATTATAAATAAATAGTAAAAAATAATAAAATAATAGTAATTATTTGATACCAATAAATATTTATTTGATAAGAGCCAATCGAGTATTTGAATCAAATAAATTTTTTTTTTTCACTGTAACATTGCTTGAAACTTTGGTAAATTATTACTCCAAAAAAAGAGTAATAAATTCCCTAAAATTTTAGTTCAATCAAAAACTATTTTTCAAAAATATATTTAATCCCCCTTTTTTTGATTCAATTGGGCTCTTTTTTTTTTACTACAATTTCCTTGTGAAATCTTTTCAATGTTTAAAAATGTGAATCAGCAATTTGAGTTTGAAAGTTGTGAAAATTTTCGATCCTAACTATATTAGGTTCGCCCTTATTGTGGTCTAAAACGTAATTTGAAAGAGACTTCCAATTACCGAGAGACGCTACTGCAAACTCGTAAAAATCTTGAATCGGAAATCAATTTTCCACGAAAAGAGAGAGCGCAACTATATATACTTTTGAAGCTTCAATTTAAAAAAAAAACCAAAAATATCCCAATGCTCAATTTATCTTTTAAATAAAATTTTTTGTTATATCTAAAATAATTTTCTCTAAATTTTATTTTAATAATCTAATATTGACAAATAAAATAAAAAATATTCGATTCTTTCCTCATTAAACTTGAATTAAATGCAAAAAAAAAAAAATCCAAATGCATTTAACTTTCATAAAAGTAAATGTGAGAAAGCAGGAATGTAATTTTGATGTGCACTTTGCAATATAGAACTTGACTTTATACTTTTATTTCATCCTTCACATTTTTTTTTATTCCTTTCAGATTTCATATGACACAAGTTTTTTGCAAGCACTCTTTTCATTTTCTTTTGAATTCCCCCTTTTTTCAAACAGCAAAATATATAACTTATTTCAATTCAAATAAACATTTTTTATTACCTTAAATTTTCTTTTTTTTCAAGTTATTAAATAAAACCATTAAAGAAAAAAAAAAAATTCTTTTTTATAAATGGAAATTTAAAGTCTCAAAAAAATAAAAAAAAAATAAACATTCGATCAGTATAAAAAATTTATAGAATAAAATTAACGTTACTAATTTGTGAAGTCAAAGTTAAGGGGTACATGCTTTGAAACTACGCGCAAGCTTTATCAGTTAAATGGTTTCACGTATAATATCCAAGTATTACACACATGTGCATAAAGGACCCATCTACAATAAAGGTTTAATCTCGAATGTAAATCTCATCGTTATTTTAGATTAGACATCTACTTATCTATCAGTAACAAGAATCTGTAATTGCGCACAGAGAGAAGTTTGAAAATCCAAATGAGAATCTTAATTTTTCCATATCAATATTTAAAAAAAAATTTCATTTTCAAATTTATTCTATATTATTTCATATTAAAATTCTCAAAAATTTTCTATTTCATAAAAATATACGCCTATAGAGAAAAGATATATTTGTCTCAGCTAAATTTTTTTGCAATAACAACGAAAAAGTTTTCTCTGATAAACAATATTTAATTTTTAAAAATTTACTGTCACAGCAAAATTTTTTTAACCCCACAAAAAAAATTTGTTCGCTCTCCCTACACTCAGAGAAATGGTATATTTGTCTCCGAGCCTACTAACTCATTTATTTGTTCCAAATATATTTTATTTCATTGAAATAAAAAATTTATTTGAGCCAAAGAAAAATTTATTTCTGACAAATAAAATTTTTATTTACGCCAAATAAATAAATTAGTAGGCTCTGAGACAAATATACATTTATTTAACTCAAATATATTTTATTTGGTTCAAATAAATCATTTTTCTGGGTGTATATATTAGCAAACGTAATTTAATGGGACAGCAAATAATTCGCTGCCACAGCAAAATTTTTTCTATACGTGTTTTATTTGGTTTAAATAAAAATTTATTTGTCTCAAATATATATATTTTATTTATATCGAATAAAATTTTTATTTAAAACAAATAAAAAGTCAAGAGACAAATATATATACATTTACTCTCTAAATCTGAATTAGTAAAAAAGTTTACTAATTTGAATTAGTAACTCAGTTTTTGATTCTCAATTAGTAAAATTTTACTTTATTATTAGTAACTTTTACTAACAATTACTAAAATTTAACTAATTCTAAAGCAAAAATTGAGTCACTAATTTAAATTAGTAAACATTTTTACTAATTCAGATTTAGAGAGTATTTAATTCAAAATAAAATATATCTGGTTTAAATATAATTTTTCTCTGGGATGTAATTAAAAATCTAAGTTTTGAATATTATTTTCTAAATAAATTTTATTGACACTTTTCGATAAAATCGCGACTTCTCTATATATATACATATACAGTTAGAAAACTCAATCGTTCGTAGAGTCTTCTGCCTCTAGAGCAATATTTACCACTTGACCTCCTTTACAGGTAAAGAGCAATATCAAACTCTCCCCCCCCCTTCATCTCTCTCA